GTGGAGATAGGTAGAAGCATCTCCTAAGCAATTGTGATTCTTAATTATTTATCTATTTTATATGTAGGATTTTCCATTTTATATGGCTAATTCTGTAGCATGCCCTCACCACTGATTGGTTCTGATGTTTGGCCTGACATTACGTACAACGTTTATCAGGATGCTAATGATTGGTGCAAGTGGTTTGCTGGAATTTACAAATTCAGCGAGGTGATGTACACCATTTGATTAATTGTAGAATCATGCGAATCAAATATTAATCAAGAGCAATTTCTATCTTATTTTTGTCTTTAGTGACAGTTTATCTTGTGTGATTATTTTGAATTCTGTACATCTATTTACAGGATTAACATTCCTTATTTTAGCAGGTTATTGATTCCCAGCAATATGTGTAGTAATGTCTGCTTCAGTGTTACAGTGCAAGATTGCTGATGGTACAATTCTAGGACATTAACAGAAACAACCAGTTTTGGAGCTAGGGATTTCGTAGAAACTGCTTTGTTGGGGCCTTTGCCATTGTATGATTTTCATTCACACTTTCAGGAAAGCTAGTCTCCGGAATGTACATTTGGTCTTCTGGGGAAAATTTTGAGTATTTCAGAAGTAGGTCCACTTCATTGAAGGTTCTCTGCTCTGAGGATTGATAATTCTTACCTTTCCAGTCTGCAAAATGTAGAGCATTCCAAAAGCTGAAATTGCTTGATGTCATTTTTTGATGCGTAAAAGCTTATGCTGATATTTGCAAGCAGACGAGAAGCTGAATTGGAAAACGAGAATTTTGTAGAAAATGATTAAATTTGTTCATTGCATGGCATGCTTAAGATTTACTGTAATAGGAAAAAATTGATGGTTACTGTTTCTCAGCTTCTTGCTTATTGGCTACAATTCTGCAAGGTGGGTTGAGGAGGAGAAAGGAAGATAATTGCAGTCTAAGAATGTCATTGTGCTTGCTGGTGCCTATATGTGGTTCAAACAATGAGGTTGCTGCAAACTGGTGTTGTATTTGGGATAAAAAGAAGCTTTGTCAAAGAAATCGCATCTGCATTGAATGAGCGGAAGGTCGATGTAAGGCAGCAGTTTAGCTTGAAGATCACTCATTCCAAGTCTACTCTCTTGGATAGAACTTCCGTTTGAGTTTTGCTCCAACTGAAATTTTTGGTACTGATTTTCCAAGAAATTTTTTGCTGCAAATGTGAAGTGAAAACTTATCTTGGATAACTTTGTGCAAATGCAAACTGTATATGAATTTACATGTGGCCTCTTTTGAATTTGGATTTGTCGTGTTGGATGTTAGACTGCATAGGACTGGATAAGATCAATAAGTATTAAACTTTGTCCACGACCACTTCACTATATCAAACATGGTACCGGCAATGAGGTGGAATTTTCGTGGTGATTGTGATGATTTGCCAAAGATAACTAGAGATTGTGATATGATTGATTTCAATTGAATAATGAAAGGTAGACCAAGGAAAGAAGCCTTCTTGTAACAAGATTTAATGACGTCTATATGGAAGATTATGTTAACATTCGACTCGAACAATCAGCGGAATGAACTTATTCAACCGCAGGTGACATTGAATATTGCATCATTGGCTATAACTGTAGGGATTGTGATGGCTTGGATATTTTAGTTTGAACATCCCGTGTGAAAGGATCTAGAACGGTCTAATATCAATACAATTTTTTGGATTTATCGAGTTTACGTTTCAGATTATAAATTATTCGACCTTACGTATGGAATAAACTGACTAAAGTAAACACATGCAAGTGATGCATGCAAACATCATGTGACAATTAAGAACATGCATGCATCAAAAACTACCTAATCAGTTAGGTATATAAGTGCTCTTTCCCTTAAGAGTACCGTGATCTACTTCCAAATTCTACGGATCACTCGTCTTCACCCAAACCTGTATAGTAGGATAACAATTCCCAGATAGTTGTGTCACCAGCTTGGTCAAACGATTCACTTGTTCAGTAAAAAATCCATTCTGACCAACAGATACCTAATTTTTGTTTCCAGTTAAGTGTATCTTCCTATTTTTATTCAGCTATTGATGACATCTAGGGCGGATGTGACCTAACTCTTCATAATGAAAACATGTCAGGATAAACTTAGGACTTGTGTTATATGAACGCATACGTCTATTCCTAGGTCGACGAGTCCTACGCTATCTGATAGACCTTCGTCCTACAGATCCCTCAACATTAGGTTCGGGGTTAGGCACATGTTTAGACTAATCAGAAGCAGGGACAAATGTGGTTTTAGACGTGCTAGTAATATCATCAAGTTTACCCATATATCTTAGACCTCCTTTATTTCCAGTCGGCTTGCCTATTCCTAAAAGATTATCTAGCTTGACAAATCACTAGTAAAGGCAAGAAGTGGAGACTTTGAGTGCTCTAAATCGCTTAGAAGGTTCACAATCTGGATTTGCAAAGTCTCATTCATGGTGGTCAACTCGCTGACTTTCCTAGATGACCTCTCAAGCTCAAAGCTCATTGGTGAGATTTTTTACCCGAGACTCTGAAACTTCATTCATCGACTTAAGTTCACTTAGGAGAGTGGAAGATTTCTTAACGTACGCCTCTAACTTAGCTTTCTCTGATTGCAACTTCTGAATAGTCGTGCTCAAAGCCTTGTTTTTATTGAGAATTTTTAGGTTTTCCTGATACACCTTCTCATAGGCCTCATCGATATCTTCCTCACTCACCAACTCATCACTAGAATCCTCATTACTATCTAAGTCCTCGTCTCTTTCACTCCCTTGTTTGGATTCACTTTTTATCTTCGTTACGGAGGTAACGTATTTTTCACTCTCCTCATGCGTGGATCTCTCACCCTGATTGTCCGAGCTAGACTCGTTATCAGTGAGAATAACATTTATAGCCTTCTCCCCTACTCAATGTGCTAATACTAAAAGCAATATCAAGTCTAGTACACACCATCAAGTACATGACAGATCCAATTACATTAGCATAAGAAATTTTTGACATCTTATTGAACTCTTCATCAGTTTTAGAACAGAATTAAGAAGTAAGCTTAAAATGATTAGCAAGAGGCAAGATCACAGGTTTACAATGAAACATGTTAATTTTTTTCAAAATCTTAACCACATAATCATGCTAGTTTAGAAATAACATGTTTTTCTCTTTATCTCTATAAATTTGCATGCCAAGAATCTTTTTAGGATTCCCAAGATCTTTCATATCAAATTCAGATTTAAGTTATTTGATATGCTCAATTTCTGATTTATTAGAACTTGCAAATAACATATCATCCACATAAAATACAAGATAAAGAGAATGTTTACCTCATTTAACTTTACAATACAAACATGTGTCATAATTGCTCCTTTGAAATCCAAGTTTCAAGACAAAAGAATCAAGTTTTTTGTACCACTGCCTAGGAGCCCGCTTTAGGCTATATAATGATTTCTTTAATAGACAAACAACATTTTCAGGATTTCCTTTTATAAATTCAATAGGTCGTTTCACATAAATTTTTTCTTCTTAGTCTCCATAAAGAAATGTAGTTTTAACATCTAATTGGCCAAACTCCCAATCAAATTGGGCAACTAAAGAAAGTAAACATCTAATAGTTGTATACTTAACAACAAGAAAAAATATTTCATTATAGTCTACACCTTCCTTTTGTGTAAATCTCTTGACTACTAACCTAACCTTGTATCTTATGTTGTTATTTCCTTCTTCCCTTTCCTTTATTTTATAAATCCATTTACAATCTATGAGCTTTTGACCCTTAGGCTTTTCAACTAATTTCCAAGTTTCATTTTTAAGAAGTGAACTCATTTCATCTTCCATAGCTGCTATCCAATTTTTAGCATTTTTAAGATTAATGGCATCGTAGGAATTAGGCTCAATATCAAATTGTTCTTTATAGGTGAATAAAGAAACAAAATCATCACAATCATATCTAGCTGGAGGTCTGATTTGTCTTTTTTCCCTATCTCTAGTTAGTTGATATTCATCTATGAGAAGAGTAGGATTATTAGATAGATTATTAGGATTAGAGACCGAATCATTTTCAATTTCACTTAAAATGTCATTTTCTGTACTAATAGTTTCTATTATAACAGGTGCTGGTGTTACTTCTCCAGCATGAATAGTCTCCACCTCAATTTGAACATCCTCACCAGTCAACTTATTCCGTTTTCCTTCTAAACAAGGCATAAGAGACTCATTAAAAATTACATCCCTCCAAATAATCACCCTACGCCCTCTTTCACCTTTAACCCACAGCCTATACTCTTTAACATTTTCACCATAACCTAAGAAAACATATTTAAGTGATCTAGGCTTTAACTTTCCAATGTTTTGATGAACATATGTAGCATAGCCAAAGGTTTTTATGTGAGAGTAATCAACAGAATTTTTAGTCTTGATAGATTCAGGAACTTCAAATTTTAGTGCATTAGTGGGGTTCTATTAACAAGGTATGCTGCAGTTTTCATAGCTTCCCCCAAAATATTTTTGGCAAACAAGAACTCAAAAGCATACATCTAACTTTGTTTAGTAAAGTTCTATTCATTCTTTCTGTCATACCATTTTGTTGAGGTGTATAGGTGATGGTGAGATGTCTTAATATGCCATATTCTTTACAGAAACTATTAAATTTATGATTACAAAACTCCAAACCATTGTCAGTTCTTAATATCTTTATCTTATGTTCAATTTGAGATTTCAAAAAGTTTCATCTTTAGTTTTTAATAAGAAAACCCAGATTTTTCTTGAAAAATCATCAATGATCAAAAGATAGTATCCAAAACCAGATAGAGTACACACAGATGCAAGATCCCACAAATCAACATGCAAGTACTCAAGTATTTGTTTGATTTTATGAATTCCAGGCAGAGAAGGAAGCTTAACTTGTTTACCTATCAAACATTGTTCACAATGACCAATATCACCAAGGTTTTGATTTCCAAAAAACTCCTTTATTTTGTAAAGCCTTTAGACTTTTCTTACCCATGTGGCTAAATCTTTCATGCCATAGTTTTGCAAGAGAAAATTTTTCAAGCAACAGTAGTTAAGCCAAGTGAGGGTTTAGTATTAAGAAAGTAAAGACCGTGTCTTTTAGGGGTCCTTATGATTATATCATTGCCCCTAAGAATTTCAATATGTCCTTGACCTAGTTTTACATCAAACTCCATATCATCCAACATACCCAGTGGAACTATATTCTTTTCTAATTCAGGAACATGTCTGGTTCTTTTTTAAAAACAAGACCTTCCCATTCTCCAGTAACATTTTAATAGTGCCTATTCCATTAATTTACAAGTCATATTGTTACCCATCATAACTTGTCCACCAGTTGTCTTTTCAATTTCAAGAAAACAGATTTTATTTGGGCACATATGGAAGGAACAGTCTGAGTCAAGAATTCATTCATCATTCAGCTTCTTCTCACCATCGACAATGACCAAATTATCTTCATTTTTATCTTTATTATATACTAAGGCTGCATTCCCATCATCATGTTTCTTTTCTTTTAATTCATTTTTCTTTTTATAACAATCTTTGATAAAGTGACCATGTTTCCCACAATAGAAGCATTTCTTACATTTTGGCTTATTCTTAGACTTACCCTTATCACCTCATTTCTGTTTATTTTCATTTGAGGTTTTTAGGTAATAGTTAGTTTTACTAAAACCCCTTCTCTTAGCCAGTAAGGTATCCCCATTGTGATTCTCCTTGGATTCAGATTTAATCTCCAAGGCTTTGTTCTTTAGGGCATTGATTATTAATTCTATGGTATGTTCTGCCCTACCATATTCCAATGCAATATTAATATCTTTGTATTTGTCACTAATGGAGTTTAACAGGATCACAACCAACTGATCTTGTGAAAGTTTTTCATCACAGTTGGTCAGATCTTGGGTCAACTTAGTAAACCTGTTCAAATTGTCATCCAGGTCTGTTGAAGGGTCCATTTTGAAAGAAAAAATGTTGTTTTAACAACACTTATTTGGGATTGTCGTAGTCACATATTTTTTCTCAAATTTGGTCCACAATTCAGAGGCTATTTTAATTTCACCAATGGTTCGTATCACATTTTCAAACAAGTACAAGAAAATAGTACTCCAAACAACCTCTTCCAATTCAATTTTCTTAGCAGGGTTCATATCTTGGGGCCAACTATCATCTAAATCCCTAACACATCTCATTTGCACTAGGATAGATTTCATCTTTTGACTCCACATGTTAAAATCAATTTTATCATCAAATTGTGCAATATCAAATTTAGCAGTAGCCATTTTGTTATGCTACACACAATGCATAAGCAAGATTCAGGATAATCGCAGCAAGATAAGCAAAAGACACAATAGTGCAAATCAAGATTCACAGCAATGTTCCAAGAAGACATAATTTTGCAAGTTTTAGTCACGAGTATAATATGCAGATCAGTTCAAGTAAGAACACAATAACAGAGGGCAGAAGTCCTTGGTTTCAGAAACTTCTCCTTCAA